AGACACAGCCTTGGAGTTTTACTGTATATAGTAAATAATCAGCAGAGGAGACAAAGGAAATCTCATCCTGTATATCTGGGACTGTCTCCATTCTAAAAAAGAAAAGTTGCTATATGTAGAGTATATTAAAGTACTCTGGTAGCACTTTAAAGACTAATGAATTTAATACTCTATACATTCATTAGTCTTTAAAATGCCAAAAACTCCTTATTGTTTTTTGCTGAAACAAACTACCTCGGCTACCTCTCTGAAACTTATTAAAATACTGTAATTTTGAAATAATGATTCCTTTTGATTTTAAAATTACTGGTAATATAGCAACTAAAAGATAACAATTCATCCATTTTCTAGAAAGCAGCTTCTTTGCAGATATTGCAGCCAGCCCTGTGGTTTTGCCTTGCTGATTTAGCTGTAAATCTGTCTTCTGAGAAACAAAATATGGAAAATGTGTTGTCATACTACTTCACAGTTTTAACCCACTGAGAACTGGAATGGATTATGTATGAAATTGTCTCTCTTCTTTTCTATTTTAATAGTGATTTTTTGCCTCCAACACATTCAAAAGCCGAGATAAATGAATTGTACAAATCGCTTGTGGCTTTAAACAAATGTATCCGTAAACAAAGAATTCACCATGATGACTTGGGATTAAAGCAATCATTTTATTTCTAAGGCCATGATTGAACTGTAACCTGCATCTGTACATAAATATGCTGCCCTGCTCTTGGTCTTTTGAGGCGGGGGTTTCTGTTTAGAATGAGAAAAAAAGTGATTCCTTCCTCTAAGTTTTGCATTATGCCTTGTCTTTCTATATATGTGTCTTCTAACCTGTAACCTTCCCAGGCAAGAACTATCTTGATATTGGTAACTGGTATAGCTTCACAAACAGTGTTGGGCTGTAATAAAAGATAGTAAACCACCATTAATAAGCATAATGTCAAAAAGATTTGGGTAGAGGCAGCCTACGAGTTGTTGGCCATACATGAGTGTCAAGCATTCCATCAGGGTAGAGTGAAGCTAGACATGACTGTACATTGATTTTTCCATGTGCTACTATGTGAAAAGGTGAAGTCTTCACACTTGACTCTTATTTCCTTTCTTTCTTTTCTAAAGACACCCAAAATGTACAGCATATGATGGTAATTCGCATCCAGTATGAGAGAGTTTGCCAGGAATGTTTGGCCAATATACAGCTATGCAAGGTTGGTGTCATGAGATTGAAAGTTGCTGAATTTGGAGATCCAATGAAGGATTTTGGTAGCAGCAGATCATCCAATATAATATCTAGTTTGAGACCCACTATTTTGGCATGACAATCCAAATTGGTCTCTCCTATCCTATATGTTGTGCATTTTTCTACATAATAACATGTGGTATTTGTATTTGGAATATGTAGAATGTAACTACTAATACTAATTTAGTGGAGGGAAGAGAGTCAACTGCATAAGCTTGGAGACTGAGGGTCATGACCCCAGCATGGCTGTTGGTTCATTCTATAGCCTTGTTTGGGGAAAACATTTAAGCTCTGTGTCTCAATTTCTCCATATCGAGAATGGGGCTAATGCCACTTATCTACTGCATGGGTGAGGAAGGTTGAGGCTTAAATCAATGTTTGTAAAGAGATTTGAGAGCTTTGGATGACAGAGACAATATGTCAATACAAAGAATTAATTATTTACAGTTTTCTTGTCATTCTAGTTTAATCATGGGACTCAAATAACATAGGCGTTCATTTTCTGAAACTGTCACTGATTCTTATAAACAGTATGTCATCAAAGACTTAGTGCTCTTACTAATGGAGGAGTACACAACTTCTCACCTTGCACATCCACTGCTTATACCTAGCTTCATTTGTCCTCAGCTGATGGTTTCTTTAGGAAAAGATACTAAGATTGGATGTTTATTTCTAAATCTACCAGTTCAAAAGAAATTAATACCTGGGATGCCAGGGATTATGTCACCCATCTTGTCTCTCTAACAAATATTTTATTAGAGTATGGTGCATTGTTAAAAAAAACACAGCTATGTATGCACTTACATAGAGTTACTGGTCCAGACCTGAAGAAGAGCTCTTTATAGTTCAAAAGCTTGTCTCTTTCACCAGCAGAAGATGGTCCAATACAAGATATTACTTCATCTACTTTATCTTTCTAATATCTTGACACAACATGGTTGTTTGCACACGTCAATAACTTAATATTCCTTTTCTTTAGAATAAATTGTTGAGTTTAAAAGTTTGCACAGAGAAAGAGGCTGAAAAGGTTGTGAATCCTGACTTCTTCAGAATGGTTGGGAAGCTGCAGTGTCGGTTTGAACGAGAGCTGGAACAGATGGATGTATGTTTACAAAGGCCATTCTTTTTCTTACATCCTGGAAATAATCAAATCTAACATCTATCCTACAGCCTACACTGGTTTAAAATATTACATTTCATTTCATCATTCTATTGATGCCCCATTAGTGTGCCATATTATCATTGACTGCTTATAGTGTAAACAGGGAACTTGAGGAGATTGAATGGTAGTTCATAACTTTTGTTTTGACTTTTATAGTGACTATATATGAAAAGAACTGGCCTGTTTGTGCTCAAGGTTTTAGATCAGGGCTACTCAACTTTGGAATTCTTGGAAGCCACAACGATACGATACAGTACATGCCGAGGGCCACAAATTAAGTGTGGTGGCATATACATGCACATATATATGCAAATAGCTTCTTTCACACTGACAGACAAAGATTAAGCCTTAAGCTGCAGTACCAGACCCAGACATGGCCATTGTAAGTCAGTCAGCACCTCTCAGGCTCTGCCCACATGGCTAAGCAGCCAGCACTTCCCACAATGCCTTGGCACTCCTGGCACCTCCTCCCTGGCTGCTAGAAATGCCAACACCCTGCACCCGTCTGTTCCAGCCAGCCCGTCCACTTGCGTCTTTCAATGCTCACCCTACCTGGGAGACGCCTCATCGTTGTGGAGAGTGTTCCATGTGTTGAGCCCCGTGTAACCCAAACTGCACCGCAGGCCGCAAACAAAGGGGCCAAGTGTTGAGTAGCCCTGTTCTAGATGGCTAAATAAGGCTAATGCTTTGTAGTTGCTACTCTTGTGAAGGATAGATGGTCTTTTAGCTGAAGTATTGGCTGGGAATTAGGCAATCTGGTTTTATTTCTGACTGTCACTAATTTGTTGTGTGACCTTAGAGATCATAAAATGGAACATGATATATAAATACAAGATATTATTTTGTTGATCTCTTCTATTTGTGTACACTAGCTGTTGTTTTTAACCCGTAGTAATTCTCTGCTATTTTATAATGGAAAAGAGGTGAATTTTCTGTATTATCTTCCAGCATTAGCCATTATTTTGTTTGGTAAATGGCCTGAGCTTTAGCCATATGAATGTTTTATTTTGATGTGTATATACACGTGACTTTTAGATGTTAGCTATTTTTCCATCCATTGCCTTGAACTAACAAAACATCATAGTGTGTATATATCAGTTATAAATATTATAATCTGCAAAGTGATGTACAATGCTCATTCACTTTGACACTTTGTTTTAGATTTTGTTGGTGGTAAGAAAAATTTTCACTGAATTTGCAGGAAAGGAAAAAAGAGTAGCCCAAATTCATAGGCTATGCAATTGTTCTTTCACATTCTCAGGTCTGTATCTCTCTCTAGGTTCTCATACCTTGCTCTTTGTCATGGTATGAGGCTTCCATGTAAAGGCTTCCAATTTCCAAACAGCATTGTGGTCCTATTTTCTAATTGTATGATATGTCATTGAAAGTGGTACTACTAGACATTATATTCCTACGTTGGGCAATGTTGATGTTAATGTAATTCCCATTAGCACAGTTGCAATAACAGAATGGATGGTAGTGACCTAAAAAAAGATGGTGTTTTCTGATTCTTGATGCACCTTCCGCTTTATTGGGTAACTGTAGGATTTCTTTAGACAGTCCTGGCAAGTCAGCATTCCCCTGCAACTCTCTATTTCCAATAACAGTCTAATAATAATTTAATATAGTTTGTTCTATCCATTTGGCTGTTTTAGCGAGACTTTGAAGATCTGGCTAAATGTGTTGAACAGAATTGCAAAGACTTGTACAAATATTTCCAGCAAGTTATTGTCCTCTGGGATGAACATCAACTCAATCTGTCCCAGCAAGAAAATGAACTTCAGGTGAAACTGAATGAGTGCCGGCAGAAACATGAAAACCTAAATCAGGTACAATCAAAAGTCCAAAACACTGGTGTGGTATAAAGGAAGCACTTATTAGCAAAAAAGATGCTTTTGGCATTTAAACAATCTCTTTTTATAAAAAGCACAAGATAAATTGGGAGTGTTTCTAATGGTTTCTGTGTTTGGAAGTGGTTGCAAACTGCCCAGTGAGACCCGAAGATCCCTCCCACCGTCGGGAACAACCCCTGGCGCCATGCTCTACGCCAATTGAGCTGTGGCTTATAACCGGTAAACTGTTGCTCCCCGTGTTGTTTCCGCGCTAGTAGCGCTAGCGAGGCTGGAGTGTCCTCTCCAGGGTTGCGAGATATGTTGGTAGTCGGATACTAGCCAGGGCGATGTAATATGGAGGAACAGGCTATTGCCCACGTAGCGGGTCCCCCCTCTCCACGTCGTCGATGGATCCAAAGGAACAGCAGGGCTGCTACAGTTTGGCATCGGCGCCGTCGCAGGAGTTGCCAGAGCGAGGCTGCAAGCAGCGTCGAACTGTCTTAGGGACTCCGACTCCGGATTTTTCCTCGAGGTTTACTCCTGAAGCCTTTTCCATGGAAGAATATAGCCGCAAGGCAGCGGAGGTTTAAAATCAGGGTTTTCCTTCCCCTAGATGAACTGCCTTCCTAGGCTGACGAGTATCATCTCCCCGAAGCAACTGGTTATAAGGCGCCAGTGACCTGCCTGCGCCCCTTCTCCTGTCAGTTAAAACAGTTCCGCCGGGTTTACAAGCTAAACCGCACGTGAAGGCCAGGAGCTGGACTTGGTTGTCAGAGGCTATTGGAGACGCACGCCGTATAGGGGTACTTTATAGACAGTGGGAGCTTATCCCCACTACCACCCCTGGCTATGACAACCTTGGAACTATAAAAGATAATAAACCACCATTAATAAGAATAATGTTAAAAAGATTTGGGTAGAGGCAGCCTACGGGTTGTTGGCCATACATGAGTGTCAAGCATGCCATCAGGGTAGAGTGAAGCTAGACACGACTGTACATTGATTTTTCCATGTATTCCTATGTGAAAAGGTGAAGTCTTCACACTGGACTCTTATTTCCTTTCCTTCTTTTCTAAAGACACCCAAAATGTACAGCATATGATGGTAATTCGCATCCAATATGAGAGAGTTTGCCAGGACTGTTTGGCCAATATACAGCTATTCAAGGTTGGTGTCATGAGAGTGAAAGTTGCTGAATTTGGAGATCCAGTGAAGGATTTTGGTAGCAGTAGATCATCCAATATAATATCTAGTTTGAGACCCACTAATTTGGCATTACAATCCAAACTGGTCTCTTTTATCCTATATGCTGTGTATTTTTCTACATAATAATATGTGGTATTTGTATTTAGAATATGTAGAATAGTAACTACTAATACTAATTTAGTGGAGGGAAGAGAGTCAACTGCATAAGATTGGAGATTGAAGGTCGGGACCCCAGCATGGCTGTTGGTTCTTTCTATAACCTTGTTTGGGGAAAACATTTAAACTCTGTGTCTCAATTTCTCCATATCTAGAATGGGGCTAATGTCACTGATCTACTGCTTGGTGGAGGAGGTTTGAGGCTTAAATCAATGTTTGTAAAGAGATTTGAGAGATTTGGATGACAGAGACAATATGTAAATAAATAGAATTAATTATTTACAGTTTTCTTGTCATTATAGTTTAATCACGGGACTCAAATTACATAGGCGTTCATTTTCTAAAACTGTCACTGATTCTTATAAACAACATGTCATCAAAGACTTAGTGCTCTTACTAAGGGGAGAGGTACACAACTTCTCACCTTGCACATCCACTGCTTATACCTAGCTTCATTTGTCCTCAGCTGATGGTTTCTTTAGGAAAAGATACTAAGATTGGATGTTTATTTCTAAATCTACCAGTTCAAAAGAAATTAATACCTGGGATGCCAGGGATTATGTCACCCATCTTGTGTCTTTAACATATATTTTATTGGACTACTGTGCATTATCAAAAGAAACAGCTATGTATTACATAGAGTTACTGGTCCAGATCTGAAAAGAGCTCTTTATAGTTCAAAAGCTTGTCTCTTTCACCAGCAGAAGTTGGTCCAATACAAGATATCACTTCATCTACTTTGTGTTTCTAATATCTTGAGACAACATGGCTAGAATAACACTGTCAATAACTGTCAACTTAATATTCCTTAATAACTTAACACTATCAATAACTTAATATTCCTTTTCTTTAGAATAAACTGTTGAGTTTAAAAGTTTGCACAGAGAAAGAGGCTGAAAAGGTTGTGAATCCTGACTTCTTCAGAATGGTTGGGAAGCTGCAGTGTCGGTTTGAACGAGAGCTGGAACAGATGGATGTATGTTTACAAAGGCCATTCTTTTTCTTACATCCTGGAAATAATCAAATCTAACATCTATCCTACAGCCTACACTGGTTTAAAATATTACATTTCATTTCATCATTCTATTGATGCCCTATTAGTGTGCCATATTATCATTGACTGCTTATCATGTAAACAGGGAACTTGAGGAGATTGAATGGTAGTTCATAACTTTTGTTTTTACTTTTACAGTGAACTGGCCTGTTTTGCTCAAGGTTCTAGATCAGGACTACTCAACTTTGAAAGCCCGGAGGCCACAACGATACCATACAGCACATGCTGTATGCAATAACAGAATGGATGGTAGTGACCTAAAAAAAGATGGTGTTTTCTGATTCTTGATGCACCTTCCGCTTTATTGGGTAACTGTAGGATTTCTTTAGACAGTCCTGGCAAGTCAGCATTCCCCTGCAACTCTCTATTTCCAATAACAGTCTAATAATAATTTAATATAGTTTGTTCTATCCATTTGGCTGTTTTAGCGAGACTTTGAAGATCTGGCTAAATGTGTTGAACAGAATTGCAAAGACTTGTACAAATATTTCCAGCAAGTTATTGTCCTCTGGGATGAACATCAACTCAATCAGTCCTAGCAAGAAAACGAACTTCTGGTGAAACTGAATGAATGCCGGCAGAAACATGAAAACTTAAATCAGGTACAATCAAAAGTCCAAAACATTGGTGTGGTGTAAAGGAAGTACTTATTAGCAAAAAAGATGCTTTTGGCATTCAAACAATTTCTTTTTATAAAAAGCACAAATTAAATTGGGAGTGTTTCTAATGGTTTCTGTCTTTGGAAGTGGTTGCATCTGCTATATGTATTAGTCTAATATCTGATACAGCCTCTGAGGTGTACGATATTTTATTCTTGGCAGGGCAGTGATCTCATTTATCTAAATTGGTATTTTCCAGCTCTAACAACTATAAACTTGTTATTACTCATATACAATTGCATGCACATTCACAAGGAAAATCTTATGCAGCTACACAACCATGCTTGTATATCGAGTTATCACATCATATTTGTGTTCTGTGGCTTGATGAAAGAATATTTTCAAGGCATTATTAAGAACCTTTTAGTGATTTTCATACTTGCCAGTTTTCTGCAGAGAAAGCAGCATAGCATCCCCTCTATGTGTAAAATCAATGTGGAATGTTTTGTGCATTCTCCCAGATCTCCCTGCTCCTTCAGCAGGGGATACATTTAGTTCTGATGTTAACTGAATTATTGAATATAGAAGCCTAATCTGAATGTCTGTTGTTCATCAGTCATGATCTCACTTCTACCAAGCTTGAGCGAACCCCAAAGTAGATGAGTTAGTGCTGCTTAATGAAAGGTAGATGAGTTAGTGCTGAATTTACCAGGCCAAACATTCTGTAAGGGAAATTAGAAGTGTTCTCACATGTTATCTGCCTGGGCAGATTCTACCCATTAGAATCTTGAATATTTTGGTCCTGACGGTCTTATTTACCTCAGACCATTTCTCCAGCTTGAACAGATCATTTCCCCCAAAGCAGTTGCGACCTCTCCCAGCTTTGTATCATCTGAAAACTTACTAAGCATACTCTCTATGCCAATATCTATTCTCAGATCTGTCATTTCAATGGTCTATGTTTTAACAATTTCACTCGTATTTTAAAACAGAAAAATTATACTTAAAAATCATCCAACTCTGGATTACATTTTAGAAATAAGTTCCTTTTAATGATAAATTATTACTTTACATTTTCAAATACTACTGGGGTAGATAGATAGTATGAGGGAAATAAGAACAACCAGTACTACGGACCAGTAGAGACCAGTTCACAATCCTGCTGGAAAGGCATAACAAGTGGGGTTCCGCAGGAGTCTGTTTTGGGACAGGTTCTGTTCAGCATCTTCATCAACAATTTACATACTGGCATAGAGAGTACGCTTATTAGAGAGCATACAGGTGATACAAAGCTGGGAGCAGTTGCAACTGCTTTGGAGGATAGGGTCATAATTCAAAATGATCTGGACAAACTGGGGAAATGTTCTGAGGTAAATAGGATGAAGTCTAATAAGGACAAATGCAAAGTATTTCACTTAGGAAGGAGCAATCAGTCTCACACATACAGAATGGGAAGTGACCATAGGCGTGCGCAGCACATTTCATTCCCCCAAAGAATTTTTTTAAAATGCCCTTTGCCCCCCCCCCCATTAGCCACACCCCTGACCACTGTTAACCATGCCACTGTCCCCCATTAGCCACGCCCCTGGTGGTAACCCTCTCCAGGCAAGATGGGCACATGATCAAAAGTAAAAAGTGTTATGTGACCTCCGACCCAAGGACATTTCCCACCATCCTCCTACCAATAGGAATTAGTTTGGCCCCCACCAACCCCGCCCTCCCATGCAACTATCCTGCAATTGCATTAATCCAATGTGTATGACATTAATGCGGGGGTAGAGAGGCTGGGGGGGGGGGGGGGGGGGCTGTGAAGTTTGTGTTGTGCACCAGTACTGAATTCGTGTGGCTTGTTTAGATGTGCCATTGTGGCACCCAAGTTATTAATAAATATCTACCTTTCCCCTCTGCTGCCATGTCTCCTCCCCTTGCTCCATCAACTCCCCTGGTACCTGCTGCCCGCCAACCCCTCACCCTACTCCACTGTCCTAACTCCTGCCCTTCTCACTGCCCTTAGCCTTCCTGAGACCTGCCCTCCCTCCACCAGCCCTTCTCTCCCCCCTGTGCCCACTCCTCCAGTAGCCCCACTCTGATCATGTGAGCTACCCCT